ATCACTCATCTTGTCAAGATAAGGTAGGTACCACCATTCAAAGTTATCATGCATGGTTTGGTCCATAGCCAAAAAAATACAATTACAAGAGCAGGTAGCTAGAGATTAGAGCCGAACTTAATATACTAATCGATGACGTATATCTAGAGATTTCTTAAATTCAGATTAGGAAACATATGCTAGATTATAGCAATACACTATATATATATGTCCTGTTTGCAATGTGGATAAGTGCAAAATTAAGATACACAGTAGTTACTTCAAATTAAATTCAAAAAACTACTCCTAAATCCTAATAACCAAATAGGGAACATATTAAAGCATCATATATGCTCCCATCATGGCAGGAAGCAGAAAAGGACTATATGCATTTTCAGTATTTCACCTCTCCTTGCTCGTTTTCAGACAACGTATGCAGAAGGCGACAAGTGCATATAGTCGCTCTATTTTATATTAAGTTGTTGTGATTTTTTTCTAATCAAACTTTTAAAGTTGATTAAATTTATAGAAAAATATAGTAGCACTTTCAATAAAAAAGCCAAACATATCACAATAATATATTCAATGTTACTAATTTAGTGTTATAGATAAAATCTTAGTCAAATATAAAGAAAATTGACTAGAAAAAAATCAAAATGACTTATAATATGAAACGGATGGAATATTAATACTCCTTCCGTCCGAAAATATAAAGACTTAGAATCGGATGAAATATTTTCTATTACTATAAATCTGAATATGTATTTTCTATAAAATGTCTTATATGATTTTAGACTTTTATATTTTGGAATAGAAGCAGTAACAAGCAGAGAAAATAACTCCTGCCTTTTCAGCAAGCAGATAAAAGGAGGTAAGGTTGACGCAGATGTGTGCGTGCCCTGAACGAGCCGAGGTCCAAAGCTAGCAGCACACGGCTTGAGCTGTCGTGAAAGCGGCCACTGCATCGCTATTTCGCTACGAGTAGTAGCGAGTGAGTACAATTTGCGTTGAAGAAATGGCCGGGTCGTCGTCTGTGTGCTGCCGGCTCACCAACCCTGATGATTCCTACTCTATCAATATACGAGAAGCTGTTACCTTCCTTTTAAAAGAAGAAAAAACCTGCTGATTGTTCATATCGTTCCTAGCTAGTTAGCTAGCTAGCTGCAACTTGCAGCAGATTGCAATCCTTTTGGACTGCTTGGTAGTAGTATGGACCATGGCCTTGAGTTGATTGCTGATATGGGAGTAGTATGGTCTCTTTTTGTTTTTTCTTTGTTGATAGATGATGGATGAAACCGAGTTTATGATAATTATTTAAGGAGAGAATTAAATATTAGAAAGCAAGTTAAAATGCTGATTTAAAAAAGTTCTCTAAGAAATGCCAAAGGATAAGTTTTTCTAAAAGAATCGTACAATTTAGGAGCTTGGAAAGTGTGTTTCTGCGATAATCTATATCATGTAAGCTAAAGAAAAGGGGTATGGGTATGAGGTTTTTGAAGAAATAGAACTAGGACTGCACTGTTAGACGGTTACAAGTTTTAGACTTTTTAAGAAGGATGGGTGGCAAATATCCTTGTGGCACAGGATATGGGAGATAAATCACATGCTACAGCAAATTTTCTTTTTTTCCCCTCTTTTTGGTTTAGAAAGACTAAGCAATCATGAGGTGGAAAAAAACTAGTTGCAAGGGCTGCGTGTACCAAATAAAACAAAGAACATAATTTATCCGTGTTTTGCCATGTTTTTGAAGTACCTAAAACAAGTTGGTATTGGGGGCAAAAATAAAGAATTTACTCATCGGGATTTCGTAGTATAACAAAAACTCATAGTTTCTAAAATTTCATCAATCCTATAAGGCCAAAATACCTGGGATTCCCTCGTGCTAATGCGCATCTAAATTTACAACTTACAAGATGGGTGTTGTTACAGGATTACACAAGTAACACGACTCTTGCTTTTGTTCAGCTCAAGAGAATCCCTAGTTTGTCATTGTTGTATTTGTCCAGACCTCCAGAAAAAGGAGAGAATCAGAGGCAGCCAAAAACATTGTGACTTTGTGGGGGGTTTTTGAAGAGGGAAAAATGTTACTTCCTCCGTTTCACAATGTAAGTCATTCTAGCATTTCCCATATTTATATTGATGTTAATGAATTTAGATAGAGTATGTTCTTTGAGTTAGTTCATCGTACACAAGAACGGGCCTATGTTGTGTTCTTCTAATCTGTGTCAAACCTATCAAAATTAGTTATGATGTGCAATTTTGGTTTTGGGTCATACGCACTATCAAATTCATGCTTTGCAAATTTATGTACATGATTGCATCCATATAGTAAGTTCATGTAACGCCCATACAATTTGCTTTAAAAAAGGATTTTCTCATCGTATACAGAGATAAACGACCAACCAGAAAGAATATCCAGCGCATGCAGGTGCCTTTGAGCCTCACCCGTAATCTCCACTTGCTACTAAAGCGACCATCAAAATAACTACAAATAATTAATAAATTCTCATATGTACGCTGGGGAGGAATTAAGAAATTAAAGCCCACAATTATTTGTAACAGCGTGAGATTAAGCCCACAACTGCTTGATCTTAGCCAGAAAATAGGCCATCTAAACATTTAAGATGGAATGATATTTTCATGGAACAAGTCTATTTTGCCTCTCTCATTCTATTGATCCTAATTGAATCACAATTCTCAACCAAAAAACCAGATATAACGCTTCTCCATCTTCGGAAGCCTGTGCAAATTGACTCCCTCTTCCTCTCTTTCACCTTCCAGAAGGGGTAGAGCCTAGGAGGGCAACGGCGGTGGCGAGCTAGATCTGGGGAGGGCAGCAGTGGTGGTGAGCCAAAGACGAGGAAGACGGTCCCCCGAAGCAGTTGAGCTTTCCAATGGGTTGCCTCCTCCCATTGAGTCCACTCATCTTTGGTCATGCTCGTCGGAGGCGAATCGGTGCAGCGTGTCCGCGACGTGGTGCAGCGCGTAGTCGCCACTGTCCTAATTGCACGACAATAGGTCGAGGTCGAGCAGGCATGACATGGATGATAGCAAGGTGATATGAAGATGCCACCATGGAAGCACCACCATGCGTCCACGGATTAGATTCAGATTTCGATGGACGTGTTGCTGGGGATCGTGGCGTGGTCGGACGTCGTCACCATTGTCTATTGCGTCGCCACCTCCAAGCTCCTCCGCCGCCACATCATCCATTTGGCGTGTCTACAGAAAACCAAATTGCAGCATGCCCTCGTGCCTCCTCGGCTTCCTGCACAAGTGAGGAGGGTGCGGACAGCCGCTCACCTTCACGCTTGACCACCGAGCAACACTCACTGCAAGTCCTTTGCCAGTAGCCACCTAACACCCTTCCTATCATGCGACGCAGCCAGTTGCCTAGCCCGATACAAACCCCTAACAACGCACGGCTCCGGCTCGCCTCTACCACCGCCTTCCTTAGGTCTGGCTCACCATTGTCACCACCCTCCCGACGTCTACTGTTGATGGAAGGTGAGAGAGAGGAAGAGGGAAGAGAGGAAAGAGAGAACAGGGAGAGGTGAGCAAAAGGATGATATAAGGAGAAAGTCATTGGCATGTATGTCCCACCTAGGCACCTACTGACTTAACAAGTCAACTGTGATCAACCTACTACGTCCACAGAAACTGCTCTCCGCTCTGGTTTTTGAAGAGGAGAAGGCATTATACGCGGTTTTGAAATTGAGGGAGACGATTCAATAAGCAGTTAAGAGATGAGGGAGGCACCTAACACCCTTCCTATCATGCCAATTTTAGTCAGGCAAATAGACTCATTCCTATTTTAGTCCACGTGCCAACAGATGGTCAAATATGAGCCAAATTTTGGCCTACAGTCAATAGTAGCTGCAAGGAAATTTGGCCCACAACTAATTTTGAATGAACCGCACGAAGCCCACTCGAGAAATTAGACCGAATCGGGCCAGCTTATGCGCACCTTTGGACCAATGTACACATATTTGGGCCGAATGTATCCATTACCATTTACTGTACCAAGTAATAGACGCGTGCAACAAAAAACTATTTACAGAGTTTTCACATAACACATGTTTCAACATTACTGATCCAAATGACAGACATCTCAAAAAAAAAAAAGAAGAAGAAGAGGAGGCGGCCAAAAAAAACCCTTCATCCCAAAATAAACCAATTCCTCTTGGAGGAAGAGAAAACCTATGTTTGAACAATTAACACTAAGATTCATACATGTACCTCTGATGTACCTCTGAGGTGCCAAATGACGTTCACATCATTTGGTCACCACTTCACTTGCCAGTCCTGTCTCATCATCTTCCACCGTACGCTGACGATCAAAAGTGCATAACCAGTTGTGGATGTATGCACAGTTGCACACAGCCATGATCAAACAAAACACAGAACACCATCATCGGGGGATCAGTCCAGCCAGAACATCTAGCATAATATTTAAATGCCTAAGTTAAATGTTCATAGGCATGCTACGCTTGGTTCTGTTTCGACAGTTAGCACACACATGGCTTTGAGAATAAGAAAGTTCGAATTCTTGTGAAAATTTGGCATAGTAGTGGAAATAGTACATCTGCCAGACGATGTGGTAGTATTTAGTAAATCCTAAATTATTCGGCACTAGGCAAACATGTTTTAAATTTCTAGCCCGTACAGGTGCATGGGTTGATAACTACTAGCAATTACACCATAAAACAATAATACTAACGTACAATACAGGTCACAAGCTGACCTGAAACAAGCGGGTCATGTTAATTTTTTTCCCAAGAAAACAGTCAATGGTAGTCATGTGTTCATAAGATAAAAATCTTAGGAGGATCAAAAGCTACTTATAATTTATCGAGGACATAGTAGGTGTTCCATGTAGTCATACTCATATTACATAGAATATATACTGTGAACAAGATCATGATTCAAATAAGGAGAATGAAGATCCCAAAATATATCGCACTCTTAATGTGAATTCGATAGTTTTATACTGCACGTATCCAATTGAAAAAGGTGTCACGAAGAGGAAAATACAAAAGATAGATCTATTGTTAGCTTCCTTAAGGAATGGACATGGTACGTAACAAACTATAACAGCAAGCAATAAATAGTAATGCAGTATTAGGCTCTACTCAAAGCACCAGTAATGATCGTGTTTAAACATGATGTTTAAAAAAGACTATCGATCCCCATGAACACAAAATTAGTATTCATTCCTTAAGAAATCATTACTACATTAATTGTCAACATTGAATTTACTGTTCAAGATAAAAAAAAAAAAAACTGATTGAACTTCCTAGCTTAGTTGCAGTTCTGACAGACGGAGGCAGCAAGCTTGAGGCAACAACTGCACAACTTGCAAGAAAGTCATAGTATGATGACCCATTGATTCTGCAAAGAGTTAAATCACAGGTCAATAACGAAGCTAATGCTTTTTCAAGTCAATTATATTTTTTCAGGCAATAGCAAAATCATGTAAGAACTGTATGAAACAAAAGTGTAAAGATAAATACGTTCAGGTCAGGAATGAATCGTTTTATATGTAAATGAAATATTCTGCAATGGAAAGTGAAGCAGCTTCTCTTCCATAATATTAGTAAGTTAGTGAGAAAGAATACATGTATAAGAAATCAAATTGTGACAATTTTTCTCAGAATGTTAAATCAACTCCGTCCTGTGTTTATTGATAAATATGGACAGGAGCTTGCTGGCCTAAATGCAAGAGATCTCTGGAATTTAGAGAACCAACTCAAAATGAGCGTATGTGATGTCAATAGTCACATCTCAGATGAAGGTCACCTTAGCATGTGCTTCATTAATATCTGCAACTTTGTTTTAATTCCATTTAGATTGAAGCAATCAATCTTCTGCCATAGGACCACCTTTGACACAAGGAATTGAAGAACTAAGTAGGAAGGTTCAACCTGCTGATGGTGCGCTTTGACCATACCAACATAATTTTATATAATGAGACTGCCCGCTGCCTTGGGTGTACCTATCAATGGAAAAGGGGCTCTATGCAGTCCTTAACATGGAAACTTATTCACAAGAAAAGTTTTGAGCTCTTGAGAGGAGGAATATACTCCCTCTGATCTTGAACAGAGCCAACCCCAACATAGCTCCAGAAAAGGAGAAAGTCATCTTTTCCTTAATTTAGAAGATATACCATTCCACTCACAAAGGCAATGGTATAGCAATAAGCCATGCTTTGCTTGCAGCAAAACTACATCTGCTTAATGCAGATATGCTGCAAGCTGGGTTCTGTACACAATTATCTTGTTTATCCATCAGACCATGAAACATTTACACACAAAGAGGTTCACTTATCTATCACAGCATACTGAAATATGATAGCCTGAAAAGTTGGAAACTTATGGTGGCAAAAAACAGGGTCATTTTCTGAATATTAACAACAGACATCATATAGTATGTATTAGACTGCTAGTACAGCACAACATATATCTGGAAAGGTGATTATAAGCAGAATAGCATATCACTGTTACTTCTATGCAAACTTTCCATCTCCATTTGCAGGACAGATGCCCATTTATCTTAAGTTACAAAAAGATACTCTTTAACCAGAGTTCACATATGACAATGTATGGTTGTTCATTGGTGAGTTGTTGTTAAAGACAACATCAATGATCATGTAAGTTCATTTTATTTAAAAAAAATAAAACTATTCACTGTCGCAAAATCATGGGAAAATAAACTGGGAATAAAAAAATCTTACATCCATTGTAATAACATGTGTTTCTTGTGACTTGTGATTCCCTTGCAAGTAATGCAGTTGTAACCTCATGCTTGGTGCCACCATATGCAATAACTGGTTGAAAACATTGCAATGATCAGAATATGCAAAGCAATAGTTGTAAACAAGGCACCTCGATTGAAATCACTCGTTAATGCCCTATGAGCTATTTTAGAGATGGTGAATGCACAATTTTCAAAATATGACAACAACAACAAAGATAAACATCACATAAGGGGACGTCAGTCTAAACCTTTAACAACTTAGTTTGGCTTAAACACAGTACAATTCACCAACGTTACAAAGAAAAACTAGTCTTGCAACTAGGCTGAATGGTTCTTTATTTTCCTTTCAGCCTAATAGACTACAAATTAAATGTTCAGTTTAACCAAACAACATCTCATGACCTCCTGTGTGTATCCTAATCCTCAAATAAGCAACCAAGTAATTAACTCACACTGTCACACGGGCTACTCCACAGTTTCCAACTGCATTGCACAACAAGCGCATTCCATTGATCCAGGTTAGCAAGACTTCGGCACACAAACATCACCCCTACCGCCCTCCTAGAATTAGATTAAACCATAGAAGCTTCTTGCTACGGAAACTGTTGGAAGCCGTTCATCTAATGCATATAAAGCCCCTCCTTCTATGAACTCGTCGTCGACCTATCCATGAAATCTCCACCGAAACAAGCCTATCGTCACAAAGCACAGCGAACTCAAATCCATCTCTAATGGCGGATCCACATTTGACACTCACGGAGAAACTTCATACCACCACAAGAACTAGAAGGTTCTAGAAGCAAAACCGCGACGCGCCCGCAGAGGCAAATTAAGCCAACCGCAGCGAGATAGAAAGGAAAAAGGAGGGTAAGGTTCCAGAAGCTTCCACTCACCTCGATGGCTTCGCACCTCCGCCGGCAGCTCGGTCGGTGGCGTGGGGGGGCGGGGGAGGTGGCGCTTAAAATGAGGGGCAGGAGAAGGATCCAGAAGCGGCGGCGGGTTCCACTGGAAGGATCTAGAAGTCTCGAGACGGCGCAATATAATACGCGAGCGAATCGGAAGGTGGGGGAGGCGAGGCGAGGCGAGTGGAATTGGAATTTCGACGAGAGGGAGAGGGAGAGATTAGTGGGGTCGTTAGCTGTGTTAGTGTTAAGTATATTTATTAATTGATTGATTAATTAATTCGGGGTGTTAGGGAGAGCTCGTGGCTGTCAAGGTGGCCACGTCACCTTGTGGAGTTGGTGGATTCTACAGGAAGTCCATAACCGAGGAGGTCCATTGACTTGACCTAGTTGCTCCTACTTCTCCACCCCATAATCTCCTTGTGATCTCAATCGATACGCTCGTTCGATCTCATCGAAGTAGCGAGGGCAAGATCAAATCCGGAGAAGTAATCGAGGACTACGGCAGCAGCGATGGACGCCGTGGAAACGATCATCTCAACCGGGATCAACATCCATGAAGCGACCCAGCTGAGCAATGAACTGTCCCGCCTCCAGGCCACCTTGCCCAAGGCTCGCTTCCTCATCAATCGCGGCGAGTGGGGCAGGTTCAAGAACAAGGACATGGCGCTCCTTCTGTCACAGCTCAAGGACACCACCTACGACGCCGAGGATCTTCTCCGCGAGTCCGATGATCAGGCGCTGCGGCAAAAGATGGAGGATGCTGACCGGAACTGGTTCGGTAAACGCTATTCTTCCATTCTAAATCTTGCAAAAATTTTGATCCGTGGTAGCAAAACAAAAATAAAGGAGGCCCGAGAGAAGCTCGACAAGGCTGTGGCTGATTTAGAAGGAGTGCTTAATTCAGTGGGTGTTAGTATCGAGGCAGTTCAACACATGCCAGAGACAAGTTCAGTCATATGTGTGTCTCAGGTGTTTGGCCGTGACAAAGAACGAGATCTAGTGATTGAGAAGCTGGGTGTGTGTTCGATGATTGGATGTGACAGTCAACGAGATCATGTGATTGAGTTACTGGGTGTGCCACTGATCACCAGAAGTGGTGTTGCACGAGCACGGGCTAAAGGAAAGAGAGCAGCAGCCCCGGTCATTGGCAACACATCAGCATCATCCAGAGCGAAGCAACTGAAAAGAGATACTAGGGCAAGACCCAGACTTGCTGAGGCCAAATGCATCGACAATGTTCCCGTCTTGCCGATTTTTGGCATTGGTGGGGTGGGGAAGACTACCCTGGCTCAGTTCATCTACAATGATCCAAGGGTGCAAGCTCACTTTGGCAATAGGAGGGTATGGGTCTGTGTTTCAGACCTCTTTGACAAGAAAAGAGTAACAAACGAGATCATTGAGTCTTTCAATAGGGAAGAGTATAAGCCACTTTGCGGTTTAGATGCTCTTCAGGTGGAATTGATGGAGCAGCTGGAGAGGCAAAAGTTCCTTTTGGTGTTGGATGACATTTGGCAAGAAGCTATTGACGAGTGGGAGTCATTTTATACACCATTCAAGAACGGACCTAAAGGCAGTATGATCTTAGTAACTACAAGATTTACAACTGTTGTTGATCGTGTTGCCACCAACAATTGTAAGCCTATCCAACTCGAAGGCTTGGATAGAGATATATTTTGGGAGTTCTTTAGCAAGTGTGCATTCGGAGAAGAGTGTCCAGAATCATATCCTCAATTACAAGATATTGGTCGGAGCATTGCCTCTAGGTTATGTGGGTCTCCTTTAGTTGCCAAAACTACTGGACGTTTGTTGAATATGAAGCTGACTGTGCAACATTGGGAGACTGTTCAGAACAGTGAATTGTGGGAGCTGCCACATCGAGACAATGAGATATTACCGGCCCTCCAGCTGAGCTACTTATATCTCCCACAAGAACTTAAGAGATGCTTTGCATTTTGCTCCATGTTTCCAAAAGATTATAGCTTTGAACGAGATGAGATCGTTGACATTTGGGTGGCCGAGGGCTTTGTTGCGTCAGGAGGAATCATGCGTCTTGAAGATATGGGAATTAGGTATTTGGATGATTTGAGGAGCAGGTTTCTTTTTCAAACCGATCCCATGTACCCTGATCAAACTAGATATGTAATGCATGACTTGATCCATGATATGGCACAATCCGTTTATGTGGATGAATGCCTCTTGATGCAAGATTTGAGGTCTCGGAATGAGAGGAGAATGCTACATGTAGTTCGCCATATGTCCGTGAAGGTGGCTGATGAATCCCTGAAGAACGGAATGAGAGGCATTCAGGATTTGAACAAATTGCATTCACTTAGGTTTGGAATCAAACTCAATGTTGAGATTACCTGGTTCAATCAGCTCTCCAACATCCTATATTTGAGCCTAAAGGGTTGTAAGCTGGTCAAGCTACCTGAGAGCATAGGCGAGTTGAACAGTCTCCGTTATCTTGATATTTCTCGTAGCGGTGTACAAGAATTGCCGAAGAAATTCTGTAGCCTTTACAGCCTACAGGTTGTTGATGCAAGTCGTTCTAGTCTGAAAGCAATTAGTCTGGATGTCATAAAGCTAATCAACTTGCGTCGTCTAGCATTGCCAGTGAGTTGCTCTCCAAAGTTATCAGAGATAAGTAGGCTTGGAAATTTGTCTCGTCTATGGAACTTAAAACATTTTAGAGTTGGAAAAGGGGATGGGCGAAAAATTGGTGAGCTGAGGGGCATGAATCAGCTCAGTGGAACGCTAACTATCAGTTTATTTGTAATGTTAAGAATGATAAAGAAGCCGCTGAGGCTAGCCTTGTTGAAAAACAATACCTCCAGGAACTAGTTCTACTCTGGCGAGGGCATGGCAAAGAGATAGGGAAGAGCAGTGAGAATGGAGTGGTCGAAGCCTTGCGTCCTCCACCAAGAATTGTACGCCTTAAAGTCCAAGGTTTTGGGGGTGATAGCTTTTCTCCTAGTTGGTTTAGACCAGAATGCCTGTTGAATTTAAGGAGTCTGGAGCTTTCCAAGTGTGATGGCTTGAAAAATCTATCGATCGCATCGTTACCTTCTCTCGAACGGCTAATGCTAGAAGCAAATTTACGGATGGAAGCAGTAACAATTCTTGGTGGTTCAACTGGTGGTGAAAAGACGAAGCATACAAGCAGCAGTAGCAGCAACTGCACTGCATGCCTTAGAGGACTCACTACTATACGTCTTGTCAACTGTTATCAGCTACAGAATCTTGATGGGTGCTTGTCCCCGGAATACTTGCCATCCATCGAGTGCACAGAGATCAACAAATCCAGCCATCTAGGACTGTCAATACATGTCGATAGTTTCGTGGGATTCGAACACCTACAAGAGATGAAAATATGGCGCTGCAAATTGGTGTGTCCGCAAGGAATGGTTTTGCCACCCTCACTCCGACGACTCTCTATTGTGAATTGCCGTAAGCTTGATTTCCCGGCCTACCTACAGAGCCTCACCTCTCTCGACATCCTGCATTTTCGTGCCTGTAACAACATGGAGTCCATTCCGCTAGGCACAAATCTTCGGGTCAAATGCCTGATTCTCAAGTCGTGCTCGGAGCTGTCATCCATCGGTGGATCGCGCGCTCTTTCATCCATGCAGGTCGTGAGCATATCGGACGGCCCGAAGCTGCACGAAGTAGAGCAGCCCTTTACAAAGGGCCTGCTGACTAAGGAGGAGAAGGTGGAACTGTTGAAATTTACTGGTTCCATGTATGAATTAATGTAACATAGCAGCTGATTCCTAAAGACTTCCGTGGTATTTTTCTTCATGCTACGACACCCACAGCCTTTTGTTTGTAATTGAGCGTTGGCTGGTTTGGGTGAGCCATCGATGTGTGCCTTGAGATTGAAACGGCCAAGAACAAAGAGAAGTTTACACCATGTATAGAGTTGGAGTGTGAGGGGGGATGTGGTTTTTGATGTTAGAAATGAGTGCGAAAGCGGGAGTAGGTTTGGGGTCAGCCATGGCAGGATCTGCCGCGGTGGAAGAGCAGATGATAGCTGGATCAGTGGGTATCTCATACCATGAAGACATTTTCTTCTGTTCAGCGGGTAGCCCGGTACCAAATCTCAGCCCTTCATTCTGTCCAATCGGACAATTGGCAAGGTGCGGTACCGCCAGATACATATTTGCCCATGAGGTGGTACCGACAGTGTTGAGAGGGGTGGAAAGATAATACTATATTTGTAGGTACTACTTGAATCCCCTCTGTCCGATGAGTGGTAACGGCGATGGTTGGTCCATGGGCGAACGTGGCAGCGACCGTGATGACGAGGTGGTGTTGGCGGCAGCGGCAGCTGGTGCGTGGGTGACCATGGCGGCTGCGGTGTGTGGTGTCGAGGTGGTCATGGAGTCGTCAGAGCCGGCGATATGGCGGCAGCGGCAGGGGCTTTGGCGGTTGCAGTGACGAGGTGGTCATGGAGCGAGGTGCTACTGGGCATGGTGTCGAGGTGGTCGTGGAGTCGTCGGAGCCGACGATGTGGCGGCGACGGCGGGGACTTTGGCAGCTGTAGCGGCGAGGTGGTCCTGGAGTCGTCAATGCTGTGGCTGGGGCGTTGGCGACTTGGCAGCCATGGCGGTGTAGTGGCGGTGCTCCAGTTGTCCTCCGAAGCTGTAGGACTCTCCGTTTGCTGTTGCAGCGATGCCGGTGGTCGAGGAGATTGCCGATGTGCAGTGGTGTTACATAAGTTTTTCGTTGAAGTTTCATTCCAAGCATATGTCATTTTTAGTGGTAATTTAGTATAGGTAAATTTTCTTTTATTTTAGTCATGCATGTCAATATAACAGTCCTGTTTTTTTAGGAGGATGAGTAATGCGACACTCTGATTTGAGTAGATCCAGAGTGGCATCCAAGAGTATAAAAGACGTTCGAGCAGTTTTGGCACTTGCTGGAACGTGCCAATTGGGTAGGCTACGTATTGAGTGGACCTGTTATGTTGAAAAAACAAAGGCGGAACAAGAGAGGACGAAGCTAAAGCAGGAAATGGCTGAAAGACGACCGTCTTTTAGAAGAAGTTGTCCAAGCAGAAAAAGGAGACTGATGATATTAGAAATTGGTTTAGAATTAATTGGGTCATTGGAACAATAGTTCTAGTTGTGCTCCTTCTCATGAAATTATTTGAATCATATTGGAATCTTATTTCTAGATATCATTTAGCCATGCTAACTCACAATATATTCCCCAACTTACAATAT